GGCTGGCAGCTGAGCAACCAAGACCACCAGACCCCAACACTCTGCTTCTGTTCACCATCGCATCTCAGCTCCCCACTCTGCTTCATTGGGATTTCCATCCAAAGCCACTTCTGGCAAGCTCTCTTCTATCTGCAGTCAAGCCTACCTCCCTGCTGCAAACAGCTTCGCAGACCAGCTCATTTCTCTTGATTATTTAACTAGAGGCTTCCTGGCTTTTCTCTTGCTGCCCACTGCAGTAATGTGCATCTACCAGACTCAAAGGAAAAAAAAAAAAAATGAAAGCTCTGGCCTGGCAGGAAATGCCAAGATGTGTTTTTCAGTCTTTCAGCTCCAGAAACTACCAAATCCTCTTCTTGTCTCTCAGCACATCATTTCAGGCACCTTGTTCTACATGCATAAGGTTTTATACCAAAAGAGAACTTCTTAAACAACCCATTTCAGTCCTTGCTGCTCACCCACTGATACTCCATAGGTGACAGTCAAAGACAACCACTGAAAGACTATTTCATATACCCTATATCATATACCCTATCTTCATACTTAGCATAGACTGATACCAAATGTGATGTTGCCAAGAATTACAGCTTCAGTTATCCTTTTTTATTACAAAGACTCTGCTTGTTCAGTTCCTCCCCTTTGGAAGCTGATAGAGATTGGAAGAACAATATTTCCAGCATATAGGCTGCTCTCAATCTTCTCAAAGAAAGGAGTTGCACAAGGTTAAAACCACTTCCCTGTACACAGTTTAGGCACCACGCTAACAATTAACCACTACTTTCTTTGCAAATCTTGGCCAAGCTGCCCCTACCCCTCCAGGTCCCAACAGCAGGGTGAGATGAAGCAGTGAGATCCAACTCCTCCCAGCATGGCTGCACCACTGGTACTGCTCCAGCTTCAAGATCCTGTGCAGATGAGACCTGGGGACTCTGGGACCACCAAGAAGAGCCCCCACCCTGGAGACAGACATGGAGGCAGGCTGGCTGTGCTAGCTCAGGCTGTTAGTCATCACGAACTGGAGGTCTGGGAAGACTCAGACCTCTGAACCATTTAATCCAGTGAGAATCAGTGTCATTCACAGCCTTAGCTGGAACATGTCCACACTGAGGACACGGGTCCTGTTTTAACACCAACCTCCTGCACCACTGCTAATTTTAGTTTTGTTACTTAAGGCATGTGCTGTGGCCAGAGGGAGCGTGGGGCAGACACCAGCTCATGAGAGGATGAGCACGAGCAGAATGCCCCACCACAACAACTGCTGGGTCACAAGTGCATCACAGCTATTTCAGCTACTGGGTATCGAGTGCCCCAGGAACAGGCAAGGCTTCGGGCCCGTTTACCTGAGGTCTGTCAGAGCAGTACAGTACAGAGCAGAACAGAAAATGGGCAGAAATATATATATTTTTTTACATGCCCTAGTTCCTGCACGTGGATAATTACATTATCACAGAAAGACCCTTACAACAACTACCTGAAGTATTGACCACACATCAGCCCTGGGCTACTCCTCTGTGGGGAAGCAGCCCACCCCCAGCAAGATGGGTCTGCTCCAGCAGCACTGCCCTCACCATGGACACCCAGCTTACAGGAATCCACTGCCCCACATCTTCCAAGGAGGGCAAAGCCCACGAGGTGAGCTGCGCTGGCCACCCATTGCTGCGATGCCCATCCGTTTGAGGATGCAGTGGGGCACTTCCATCAGCACGGCTCCTCTGTGCCAGCCTGGCACCTGCATCAGAGCAGCTCTTCCCTTTCAAAGGTTAAAACTGTTTACTGAAAGGATTAGGAGGGAGGAGACGGTCAACTAGGAGGAAGCAGAGGGGAAACCGTGCAAATTGTCATGTAGCTGCTCCATCGTGACCATCAATGCCCTGACATCTTGTTGGCACAGCCCATGGGAACAACCCACGGAGGCTGAAGGGAGGCCTCATGGCAGCCCACAGAGCCCCTCCCAGAGCATGGAGGGGCAGCACAGAGCTCTGCTCTCTGTGACGGTGACAAGGCTGTGACAAGGCCTGAGGGACAACACGGAGCTGTGGCAGGGGAGGGTTGGCTGGGGTTAGGGAAAAGAGGGCTCTCCAACACAGTCTGTGGTGGTGCTGTGCAGCCAGGAGTGAGACTCGGGGATCCTGGGAGGTCTCTATGAATTTGGGTTTGTGTTTTTTTTTTAATGATTCTATCAACCCAACTCACGTATAGGTTGAGAGGTCATGAAAATGCCCATAAACTGTCAGCACCAGAGCCCAGGGCTTCATTCTCAGCCCACAGAGATGATTTAAAGCCTAATCAGCTGCCCCATACAACCCCCATTGTGACCACAAATCAGGCTAACAATTTGACAGACGTACAGAGGCTTTGTGCTGGCTTCCCACCACAGAGCAGTTGGCACCAGCAGCATGGCAGGGCAGAGATCTCCTCTCTGCAAGAGTCTGAAGTTAGTTCTGGGCTATATCCTCATCCAAACGCTGCCTCAGGATACAACACACAAAGCACAATTTGGGGATAAGCACTGCTGGAGCAGCAGAAAACTAAGGCAAGATGCTTCAGCTCTGCAGTATGGTCAGCTGTTCAGAAAATAAAAGTCAGTTCTGATGTTTTACTATGTTTTCTCTCATTTCAACTAAACAGGGTCTTAAGAGCCAGACACGTCAACACAAAATCCAAAGAGGCATTTCTGTATCACTGTGAAGAAGAACAATTTACGTGCTTGACACAGCAGAGTAACACCATCAAATAAGAACTAACGAGCAAGGCTGTCCCAGCTAAACAGTGTGATTTAGGCAACATTAGAGCTGCCCTTAAAGCAAGACAAAGCACTAATTGGTGTGTGCTCATTTTGCCTTTGCAGCAACAAGTTCAGCTGAGGACATTCCATGGTGGGAGCAGGTCATGAAGCCAGCCGGGCAAGCAGGCACCAGCATGACTGGCCAGAACTGCTGGGAGGGCTGTGCCCAACTGCCTGACCAGAGCCTCTGAGCAACAGGGAATTGGCCTCCAGACTGCAGGGGCTCCATCAGATACTGGGCCAGCTCATTAACCAAGCACTGCTTCTGCACTTACATCAGCTTATTGCCCAAGACAGGGAGAAAGCTTTGCAAACACACGATGGATTTGATGCATTAGCTGAATTCAGCTGTTAAAGGATGAGAGAGGAGAAGGATGACCCAGGAATAACACTGTCCTCCAAAGGATGCAGAATGTAGGAGGTGGGGTTACATCTGAGCAGTCTTACACGGCCTCCTTACCACATATCAGCCTGTCTTATCTACATGCTTTCTTTAACCTGAATCATCCTCAGTGAACAAACGAGCCCTGCCCAAAGGCAGCTCTAGCACTGCTGCAGAAGGACCAGCTGTGGTGCAGGCATGTCAGAAGGCATCCAAAACACCAGGCCTTCGATGTCATCATTCCCTGAGCTGTACTGATCCAATCTCTGCTTTGAGGGGACATATTCACTGCTCCAAGAAAAGGAAGGAGATATCCAACCAACCCAGGGAACTGGTAATGAGGGTACTGGGAGAAAAAATAAAAGGAAAATGAAAGGAAAAGAAAGAAGAAACAATTCGGGTTAGTAACAGCCAGTACCTTCTGACCCATGAACCGTGGCTATAGCAATGAAGCTTGGTATTTCCCGAAGCACACACAAATAAAGGTGTTCAAAAAGGTTCCACAACCCTGTTGTGGATCACTTACCATAGCCCCAGGGACCACACTTTGGGTACTACTGACTTTAGGGACAAAGGAGTGCAGATCTTGTAGGAAAAAAAAGTTGTTAGAACTTATTGCAAAAGGAAATTTTGCTCAAGAAACAGCTCCTCAAGAATTCAAGAGTTAAAAGGAAAACCAATAAAAAGCACAAACACAAGAGAAGGCACAAAGCTAATTCCAGCAAGACTTTACTGGTTCTATAAATGCATTAATGAAGGCAAACAAAGTGTAGCTCTGTTAATCAGCAGGAAGGAGAACAGAGAACATAACAAGACGCCCTACTCAAAGCCTTCTTTGCTTTGTACTTAAGCACTCAAGGATGACTTTCATCAAGCACTGATCTCTTAAACCTTTAATTCTTTATTTTCCAATCTGTTCTTTGCTTGGGTCTCTTGCTGAAAGTGCTTTCCTAAAGGTTAACTGTGGAGGGATGTTTGTTACTCCTCAATCCATCTCTGCAAGATAAAGGGGACAAATTTGTCACCACAGCTTTGAGGAAGTAGAACCGCACATCGTGCTGGGGGGGGCACAGGCACATGCTGCTCAGATAGGCTGCTAATGTTCATGTCATTGTTTTATCACTTACCTTTATGAATCCCTATTTATGACCACAGCAGCTCATCTTTACATCTTACTGAAAAGCATATAGCAAGTCGACCGCCAAAAGAATAGAAAACACGAGGGAAGCAGCACCTCCAAGATCTCACAACATGCAGAACTGCACCCTATGGCTGTTAAGGATAACCCTCCTCACTCCAGCAAAGAAAAAGGGCTGGGGAAAGATGCCAGCAATTGGGATTTAGAGCTTTGACTGAGGTGCTGCCAACAGGCAGAGGGATGACTCAGCCTTCCAGAAACAGAAGTGGTGAAGGAAAAAGGACAGCACAAAAGATAATCAGATGCATGCCTGAGTCACTAAGAAGATAAGGATGGAGAAAAACAGAAGAGCAATGGAAAGGGTGAGATCAATTAAAAATAAATAAGGTCTTGTTCTGAGATCCTCTAACAAAGAGTAGAAGCAGGAGAGGAGTTGAAGAGAGCAAGTGATGTTTTCTTCATTATTAATTCCTCCTGGAACAGGAGATAAGCCAACAGAACAGGGGTAGGGAGAAGCCAAGAAACAGCTGAGGAACTGGGGTTTTGCCCTTACTATGAAGTCCAGCATGCCAGAAAAGCAACCAGGAACCAGACACGGGATGGCCCATCCAAAGCACCACGAGATCTGCCGCCGCACAAGAAGGAGAGAACACTACTCCCCGGATCCGCTGCTAAAGCCCCAGGCCGTTGCTGCTCACCATGCCCGTTGCAGTAGTAGATCCATTTCTCCCTGTTCTGCGTGGGGGTGGTGGATTTTTTCATAATAGCTTTCTCCACAATGGCACTGGGATCTTGCCTCGGTCCCTTCTTCAGAGTCCGTGAGCTCTTCCTGACGCTGCAGACAACGATGACCACCAGGACCAGCAGCAGGAAGAGGACGATCATCCAGGGCAAGTGTTCATTGATATCGAAGTGCTGGTGGACGCTGGGCGGCCCTCTCCGGGGCGGCCTGTAGGGGATGCTGGACTTCTCACCCCCGGCCATCTCCTGCGCCGGCTGCTTGCCCATCGCTTGGCTGGTGTGCTTGTGCCGGTAGCTCTGTGCCTGGCCAGCGGTGCCGGCGCTGGAGAGGCTCCCAGGGGCACCAACCGTGCCGTTGGCCGAGGTGTCATTGTAGTCAACTACTGGCTCTGCTGTGCCATTGGACACACGCGGCACCGGAGAGGAGGTGAGATCAAAAACTGAAGAGTTCAGACCTGCAAGAGAAAAGGAGCGGTCAGCGTTGCAGCACTAGAGGTGACAGGGCATCATGTCTTGGCCCAGACCCTCCTTGGACGCTGGCCTGTAGACCACAGCCCAACGTGAGACAATGAGAAAGGGAAGAGGTGAAATTAAAGTTCAGCTCTATAACAGACAGCTACATTACAGAGCCAAGTTCAACATCAAGTTGCCCCTTGCTGGTTAACGCCAGTGGCAGCTCTCTCACAAAACTGAGTGATGCTCTTAATCACTTTGTGTTTGATCCTAATTCAGTATTTCTTGGAAGATCTGCAGCTTTGAGGGAGCTGGCTTTCCTTTCCTAGCTTATAAACATTACCTTTAATCATGGAAAATCTGGTATTTGGGCTAGAAACACACAAGAATGCAGAGCCTTATAGTGTCTCTCAGTCAATCCAAAGAAGCACAAACATATCCATGCTGCAAACAGGCTTGGGTGCTTCAACTCCTAAACAGGTTTCTGAAGGGATGGAAATGACCCAAACTCCAAGAGCCTCTTTCCCACCTTTATTGAGCTTTCTTACCAATGAGCAGCTCCCACATCCCAGCCAGTCTGATGAGAAGGGTTGCTGCAGCAAAAACAAGAGCCTACTCTGGAAACTTGGCTTTTAAAAATCATGTCTCATCCCAGCTGAACCAGAGTGTGGGTGTAGCCATCTGTAATGTGATTTTTGTCTCTGACTCGGTTACCCAAAACACTCTGACCAGTATACAAACAGGGAAACCACTAACTTTTATCTAATTGTCTACAGTTGATATCAAAGTTCAGGGAACCCTCCCTTCCTCTCCCAGTGACGCACCAACATCAAACTGAGCTTTGAGTCCTAACAAAAGGGAAGTAATGGCACCTACCACTGTCAACGCTTCCTCAGGTGTAAAGGGCATCAAAAGTTGCATTTTGTTGTTAAAATGCAAAATTGCAGATACCATAAGATGTGCTGAGCACCACCTCAAGAAGAGTCCTACAGCACCTCTATAGTCAGCTATGGCTACAGCAGCTCTGCTGAACACAACAGCATGCAGCCCTTGGGGTCTCTGGCTGGTCACCTATCTGTGTACAGGTAAGATGAAGACTACAGTCATTTCTGACTAAGTGAGAGAACGTGGAATTCAAGTCAGTTTGTCCCATCAGTGATAAATAATGGAAGTCTCAGTGGTTAAAGAAAAGAAGTTAATAAGCACAGCCCAGAGCCCTGTTCTGGCAATGGTTCCCATTCATGCCAATACAGTGGCACAACGCAGGATAAAAGGAACCAGGGAAAGCACAGGCACAAAAGCAAGAAACCCACCAGGAAACCAGTCTGGCGGAGAGCAGCTTTCCTCTCCTTGCTGGGGTTTCTCTGCTGCACTTGCTCCGTGCTCACATTTGCCACAAACACAAAGCCTTGTGCCGGCACAACACATAGATGGGAAAAGCAGCTGGGAACACGCTGTCCTTTTAATCCAAAGAGCAGGACAGCCAGAAGTCCAGTCATCAGCAAAGTCTCAGGGAAAATATTATTAAACGCAGTTTAACACAAGCAGTGCTAACCTGATGTACTCCACAGCTGCGTTCTGGCCAAAAAGCAAAAGCACCACCCACACTATGGATCAGGTTGCCCTTCGACAGCCTAAAAACAACCGAAGCAGGAATGCAACCCCGCGAGCAAAAACACAGCTGTACTTCATCAGGGACATTACCTTTGGGAAGGTAAGCGGTCGGTGGAGCTTCGTAGGTCTCTCCATCCGCTTCTGCATTCGACGAAGTCAAAGATGTGTTTGGAAGAGATGCTGGAGAGCCACAGACGTTGTCGCTTTCCTTCGTCCCTGGCTTTACGACCACCATGTTTTTCCCAAAGCAGTCAGTGTAGGTTTTGCACTTCATCACACTAGAAGGCACATCAGAAAAAGTACCCCGAGGGCAGGGCTTGCACCTCACGTCTTCTGTCTCGGTTCCTTTCTTGCGGACGCCCCAGCCGACCGGGCACACGGTGTAAGGGACGCAGGTATCGTTAATCTGAAACGTACCCGACAGGCAAGTGCACTCACGGTCGGTCAAGGCAGTGCAATGAGTTTTCTCAATCATTGGCAGTTCACAGGGTTTTCTGCACGGGTGGCATCGCTCTATGCCGTTCTCGTGCTTAGTAAAGGTCCCGTCCGGACAAGGGCTGCACTCTCTTAAGGTACTCTTCGTGCAGTGCTTGGACACGTAGGTTCCCGCGGGGCATTTGTCGCAGATCAGCTCCTGGTTGGTGGCACGGTCGAGGTGGAGGTACTTGCCAGCAGGGAGGCTCACAGCGTTCTGCTCCGAGGTCAGCTTGGGCTGAGCGTCAGCGGTGCCAAGGAACACGAGCAGCTGAAAGACAGATGTAAAACATCAGTCAAAGCAGCACGCGCCCAGAGCCAAATACTTCAGCACCCCGTGTGGGACCACGGGGGATATCCCAGGGCTGGCAGCCTGCAGAGGAGGTCCTGCACCACGTCAGGGTAGGATGATGGAGCGCGTTCTGGCTGCTCCACCAGCACCCTGACACAGAGATGGCTACCAGGGCATTACGAATCAGCTACAGTTCCTTAAATCTGATATCACCCTCCTCAGCAAGACTATGCCTCATTTACTGCAGGCTGCCATGGCAGCGAGTGCTGCTATCTGTGTCTCAGCATGCAGCCCACTGTGAGAGCGCTCAGACCAGCTCTGCATTTCAAGGCTGAGAGGTCCCAGCAGGAGCCAGGAAAGCAGCACCCATGCAGGTGGCAGCGCTGACCCATGAAACTGTTTTCCTCTGAGCATTAAGCAGCACTTGTTCAAACATCTGCCTTTTTAAATAGCACAAAACAGGTTGAAACCTGGGCTGGCACATGACTTCTCAGCCCTCCTACCCTGGCACAACCCACACACCTCTGTGCGAGCAGCATGGTTCTCCAGGGCTCTGCTTCAAGCCTCCACCTTGACCACAAAATGGTTTGAGTTGGAAGGGACCTCAAAGCTCACCCAGTTCCATCCCTGCTGTGGGGTCAGGCAGCAGCTCAGGCTGGGTAGAACCACCAGCCTGGCCAGGAGCACCTCCAGGGATAGGCACCCACATCCTCCCTGGCAGTCTGTGCCAGGGCCTCCCCACTTGAAACCAGCCTTAATCACAACAGGAAAGGAAAAAGTGACACTATTCTTAAGCTCTCATAGGGGCTCTGCTGTAACTTAGTTCCTCATTGCATCAGATACAGGTAAAAGGTCCAGGTTTTAGACACCCAACGGCAGCCAGCTGGGCTCACCAATGACTACATCCAGCCCCACAGTTCGATTCCCTCAGACCTCTGTGCTGACACCAACAGGCTGCTCCATCCCCAAGGGACGCAGCAGGACCTCTGCTTCTTCCAGAAGACCTCTGCACTGCAGACACAGCATCAGCTATGCCCACAGAAGCAACATACAGAGAACAAAAGGCAGCTCCAGAGAAGCTGCCCCAGCCTTACTCAGCACACAAAGCAGCTGGAGATGCATTTCTAAGCAGCAGCAGGCTGAGTTCAGAGGGAAGGAGGAACGTTACCTTGGATTTCCAAAGGTGATCTCTTACCCTGAAGGCATGCAGACCACCGACCCTAATGCTTTTCAGTGGAACAGCCACGGCCATAAATCACCTTGCTGTGCTGCACAGGACCTTGCTTTTGCTCCGCTACATACCCTGGGCTATCAGCCAGCAAGAATACATTAAACAAGAGCCTCCACCAAGATGACTCTGCAGAACACATCGCAGCAGAGCTGCACCGCGTCATTTTTGGTGCAGTCTCTCCCTTCCTGGAAAACACACCGTCCGGCTGCGCCGTTCTGTCCCACCTGCTAAATAATGTATGGCCGTACAAAACACTTCGGGTCCGTGTCATTTTCCTGAAGCAGCAATCGCAGAGGCGGCAGCAGACAGGCCTGCAGGAGCTGACAAGGAGCCTGCAGTGGCCAGGCCAATTACGGCACGTCAAATTAAAACAAAGAGCGAGGCTGCTGTGGCAGGCACTGCCGGCTCACACCATGCCTCCCCCCCTCCCCAAGATGCGATTGCACAAAGCACTACAGAAACCTGCCACCCTGAGCTCCCTGACGCAACGCCGAATTAGCAAACCAGATGCAACAGGATCCAGCTCGCAGGGCTTGCTGCTGCCCTGTGCGGGGGCACGAGCCCATGCCACCACCCTGTGCTGGGCCAGCAGCTTTGGGGCACGGGCATCTCCACACCTACTGACAGCATCATCACGGCAGCGGAAGGCTCAGCAGCACCGAGCAACTGTGCAGCTTTGATGCGGATCGGTGTTTCTGCTCCCTAAAAATAACCACTGCTGAGATCTGGAGGCTGGCACTGCTTGTGGCTCTGAGAGCAGGAGGAGGGCATGCACAGCAGGAGGACCTCAGCGACTGCTCCTGGGGATGATGCATGCAGCTTCGGAGGCAGGAGCACCAGGATAAAGAAGGAAGCTCTACCTACCACCAGACTCCGTTTCAATACTCCAGTGCCAGAGAAAGAGCACAGAGTAACATAGCCCACAGTGCAGCTCTTCATGCACAAGAGGCTCCGAACGCCCAACCTGAAGGCTTCCAGGTCCTGCACACCTCAGCACCCACATCGCTGCCCATCTGCCCCAACCCATCCCAACACCTGAAGGACTCACACGGGAGGGGCAGCTGGGAAGCAGCCAGCAGCTGACGCAGGCACGACCCACCTTACAACCAGGAGCTGGATGAGTCAGTCCTAAAGCTCACTGTCAACGCAGCACCGCTATCATCCCGTTCAGTGACTGCACACTGCATCCACGCATCCCACCGATCCAATGAGCAACGTGAAGTCAATAGTTTGTACGGACCCAAGTGCAAGCACACGGGATGCTGCAGGCTGCCCAGAGCTGGGCTGCCCCATCCCTGCAGGTACCCGAGGCCACGGATGGGTCCTGGGCCTGAGCTGCAGGGTGGCATTGGATGACCATCATATCATCAGCTGCTCACTGATCACCCTGGGAACCATTTCTGAGGGAAAACAGTGAGGATCTGGAGCAGCTGAAGCACTGCTGCCCATGGGCACGGGTCTGCACAGCCTGCATCTCTGCAAGGAGGGGAAGCCACACCAAACAAGGAGCAGCGCCAGTGAGCACGGCCCCAAGTTTGACGGTAACTCAGAGACACGAGGAGCCCATCTCCTGCCGAAAGGAGCACGTTGCTGACTCTAAAAAAGTTGCTCGTGCTGAGGGTCTCGACAAAGAGCCGCTTCTTCATTAAAAGCAACACCTTATTTTTGCCGGCCTGGGGTTAACGAAGGTGACAGCGCGCCACATCAGCAGCCAGGCTGCTCCCGAAGGGCAGCGCTCCCGCAGCACTGCAGCCCCCGGCGCTGCCCAACGCCCCACGCCGCGCCGCCCAGCGCGCACCAGCGATGGGGACGGCATCCCTGCGGGGCACCGCGGCCACGCCGCGTTCTGCTCTGCGCCCGAAGCGGTGACGCCGCTCCCCGGGGAAGGGAAGGGAAGGCTTTGGGCTCTTCCTTCCCCAAATTCCTGCAGAGCCGCGACTGCAGGAGCCAACGCGCTGCCGGTTACACAACCCCGCCGCACCGCTGCAGTGCCGATGGCAGATCCTCCCCGACGGGACGCCCCCAGCACGATGGGATTCTGCCTCCAAGCGCTGATCCTGGAGATGAACCCCCGGAAAACACCGCGCGGGGGGGGAGGCAGAAAATAAAACAGCGACAGCATTAAATAAAGGAAACGGGAGTCTGGGCGCATCCCTGAAAGCAGCCACGGCAGGAGATGCGGCCCCGCAGGGACACGGCGCGGGCCCCGTGAAAACCTCAGCCCCAACCCCAACACCGGCCCCGACCCGCCGGCACCACTCACCGGGAGGACGGCGGCCAGCACGGCAGCCCCCATGGTGGCCGGGGCCGCCGCGCCGCAGCGAGCGGGGCGCTGCCCGGTTAGCGGCGTCTCTCCTTCATACGGAGGCTGAGGAGCGGCGCGGGGCCGGCGGCGGCGGCTGCCCGCGGCGGCGGGAGCCCATGGCCGGCCCGGGGGGGCCCTGCCGCCCGCCGCGCTCCCACCTGCCTGCGGCGCCGCCGGCTACGCGCGGGGCGGGGGCGGTGCACGTGGGGCGGTGCGGAGGGGCGGGGCCGTCAGTGTGACGTCATCGCCGCGCGGGAAAAGAGAAGCGCGCCCCCTGGCGTGCGTGAGGGGAAGCGGCCGGGCTGCCGGACCGCCGCACCGCGCTCCGCCGCTGCGAAGGGCAGAACGTCTCCAAAAACAAAGATAGAAGGAGACTTTCGTGCTTTACAGAAGCACGGGTCTCATTCAAACCCTTCCGAAGTGCTCACAAGGCCTTCTGTTGATTTCAGAGATTACAACGCAGCTAAAAGCTCCTTTTCCACCTCAGGCGGACCTCTTGTCCTGTGTTTCCTCCCATCTCGTGCTGGAAGGCAGCGATGGCCTCAGGGACGGGGTGACCTCAGGGCCAGAGCTGCCCAGGAGGAAGCCCAGGATGCCCAGGGCTGCCCACAATGCAACATATTGGCCCCCAGCACAGGAAGGACATGGAGCTCTGGGAGCGGGGCCAGAGGAGGGCACTGAGATGTCAGAGGGCTGGAGCAGCTCTGCTATGGGGAAAGGCTGAGGGAACTGGGCTTGTATGGCTTGGAGAAGAGAAGGCTGTGGGGAGACCTCATTGTGGCTTCAGTACTTGAAGGGAGCGGATAAACAGGAGGGGGAACGGCTGTTTGTGAGGGTGGATGGTGATGGGACAAGGGGGAATGGCTTTAAAGTGAGACAGGGGAGGTTTAGGTTGGATATGAGGAGGAAGTTTTTCAGCCAGAGGGTGGTGAGGCACTGGAACAGGTTGCCCAAGGAGGCTGTGGATGCCCCATCCCTGCAGGCATTCAAGGCCAGGCTGGATGTGGCTCTGGGCAGCCTGGGCTGCTGGTTGGTGACCTGCACACAGCAGGGGGTTGGAATCAGAGGAGCACTGTGGGCCTTTGCAACCCAGGCCATTCTAGGATTCTATGATGATGATTCTGTGATACTGGGGGTAAATGGCAGGTGATAACATGTGCAAACATTGGAACTGTGGGTGGTGGAGAGGATTTGGAGCTTGGAGAAATGCATCTTTCTGGTGCAATGTGGGCACGGTAGGCTGGAATGGGGCTGCAGCCCCCCAGCCCCATGGGACCGGCCAGCAGCACAACAGCCTGCTCTGGCTGGAAAAGAGTAATTGGGAGCGTGGAGTGACTCAGGGCATGGGCGATGAGATGGATCCTGTTACTGCCCTGGCTTGGATTCCAATTAGTTCCATCCACTTTCAATTATGATTATTTTTACAGAACCTACAAGCAGTCCACAGATGATCCAGAAATGCATGGGCTGGCTGTAGATCTCCCTCCCCCTGGCTGTGACAAACACAGGTCACACTGCTCAGGCTGGATCACGCTATCTGCTCCAGAAATTGCTGATGGAGTGCTCCTCTCACTGCATGGCTTCTTTTCTGCATCTTTGGCAAAAAAATGGGGAAGTGGGTGAGCAAGCTTAGTTTCGTGTTCAGTGTTTTTGGCGGCTCAAGGAGTTCCTCCTTCTTTTGGTTCCTTTTTCCCCTTGTGCCACCCCATGAGTCATGCAAAGACAGCCTGTCATGGGCTGTGGGATCAGCCAAGTCACTGAACTGCTGACTTGGACAACACCAAGGGGGGTGTTTTTAATCACAGTCAGCAAACCTCACTGCTCTTGTTCGCTAAGGGGGGTGGTGGGGGTTGGGGAGGTGATGGAGTGATGTCCACCAACCTGGTTGGCCACCAGAAGCCATCTTCTCTGAGGCTGCAGTCTCACTCTTCTTGTGAAGAAAAACCAATGCTTGTGTTAGTAGAATTGGCACAGAATACAGAATGATTTGAGCAGGAAGGGACCCCTGAAGGCCATCAGTGCCAGCTCTGCAGTGCACAGGGACACCATGGCTCTGTCAGTCTCAGAGCCCCGTCCCCTGGCCTTGGCTGTGTGCAGCAGTTGGCTGCTGCTATTGGAAGTGCTCCCCAGAGTTCATGAAATGGGAGGAAGTTTCTCACCAGAAGGCACTATCTGGGAAATGGTGCGGGATGCACTGCACAGCTGCTGCTTGCTGGGTCCTGTGGAAACCAGAAGCCATGTGGGAACATTTTCACATCACTTATTTGTGATGAAAGAAGGCAGGCTAGGAGGGCAGATGTAATTTACTTCTACACTTTCTCATTCTCTGTATGTGGACCATCACTTTCACATCTCCCTTAGAAAATTTCTTTTTCTGATGCTGTTATAGGAAAATCATCCCTGTGTGAGAAAATTTGCGTTTCCAAATTCCTGTAGAAACCACATCTATCACTTGTGTAAACATTAATCAGGAAGCTAAGCAACAGAGCCAAGGGGTTAACCTGGGTGAGGGGAGGAAGACCGTGGGTGGGATTTCTCACCCTTCTGGTCCTTCTTATGATCTCCAGGGAAAGGGAAGAGAAACATCATCCAAGAGCAGCCATTCCCAGCAAGAACATACATATCACACACACATATATACGTATGTATACATGCACATACACACAGGCACAGTGGTTCCTGTAGGGAACTTGTAGGGAAGGTCTCTGGGGTGCTGGAGGTGCAATGGGAATGGCAACCTAAAAGGAGTGTGAGAGCTCCCACAGCCACCCTGTGATGGAGAGCACTCCTGCCAACTCCTTGTAGCCTTCCAATATTTGAAGGGAGTGCATAAACAGGAGGGGGAACGGCTGTTTGTGAGGTGGGTAGTGATAGGACAAGGGGGAATGGCTTTAAACTGAGACAGGGGAGGTTTAGGTTGGATATGGGGAGGAAATTTTTCCCCCAGAGGGTGGTGAGGCACTGGAACAGGTTGCCCAAGGAGGCTGTGGATGCCCCATCCCTGCAGGCATTCAAGGCCAGGCTGGATGTGGCTCTGGGCAGCCTGGGCTGCTGGTTGGCGACCTGCACACAGCAGGGGGTTGGAACTGGATGAGCACTGTGGGCCTTTGCAATGATCTATGGCCCCTGGAATGATCTTCTGCTGTGGGAAAAGAAATGCATGTCCTGTTACAGAGCTGGGTCTCCAGATCCTGCCTTAAGCTTTCTGCCAGCAGCAATATTGTGAGTTGCTGCTATGTGTTATTTCAATTCAGCTGAGTGGGAAGGGTCTTGAAGGACAAATTTCCTCCATCTCAGGTGTGCTATCACTGATGGATTTCCTGCATCCCGTTAGGGCACTGTGAAGTGCAGGTTTGGTGGCTCCTGGCTGTATGGCCCCTGTAAAAGACTGACACACAGGGGGTTTGTTCTCCCAGCATAGCTGGAGAAAGGAGAAGCTCAGCAGCAGACAGCAACGCTGAGTGCATCAATGAGATACCCTCCCTTGTGCAGACCAATTCTGTGATGTGACAGTGGGGAGATACTTCTGGAAATGGAGCACACCTGGAGCTGCTTCTTCACCCCCTGGCAGTAAGGGAGAGCATGGGGGACTTGCACGTCAAATCCTTTTCAGGTCAGTGGGTGGCTGTAATGAAGTTTCCCTTCTGTCCCAAAGCAAATGCTGCAAAGTGGAACTGTTTGTCTCCTGACAGCCACGACTGCCTGCACCCCCAACTCAGCACAGGTGGAACAAGCCCAGCAGCCACGTCTGTGCCTTTCAGAGCAAGAGTAATGGAAGTATGAAAGGTTAACACTTCTTTGGGGGATGGGGTGGTATCCTTTTGGTCTATAGGAGTCTTGTTTTGCAATTCCTGCGGCCTTTGCTTTGGCTTTGCTGGCCGGGAGCGAGGCCCACATTTTGACCCCTGGATGCTCATCCCAGCCTCCCCATGAGCACGGTGCCCTGAACGAGTCGCACAATGCCCTTGTTTGCCTTCTGCTCTCCCCTGGGTCTCTGCAGCTGAGGCTGCCCAGCAAAGCTTCCCTGGGAGGGCTGTGTGCACTGGTTGGTTCAGCAGCTGAAAAAGACATTGATTGAGCAAGCCATCCTGGCGCAAAGATAAAGCAGCTAAGGACTCTCACTACCTCGAGCCCAGCCTGGCTCAGCACATTTTATTTTATTTTTTTCCTCGAGTGAGAACCGAACACCAGATGTACAGCCCTGGGGTATTTTTGGAGCCCCAGGAGGATGTTGCTTCCCGAGTGACCCTGCTTAGCTGCACCCAGCAGGGAGGGATGTGATGCTGAGTGACCAGAAATAGTTGCAGCTTAAGGTCTGTGGTGCTGCTCCCATTTAGCAGTGCGGAAGCTCATGTATCCCCAGAGACTTTATGCCCAGTGCAGAGTAAAGACAGAACTAGCTGGAGATCTTAGCACCGCTGGTGAGCGTCATGCAGCCAGCGTTTGTCACCAGCTTTCAAGAAAAGTGTTGTTCTCTGCATTCTTATGGCAGTGCAATCAACACAGATGTGATGAATCACTGCTTTGATGTGTTACGCCAACAGTTTGATGTCTCTAAAAAGACTCTTAGGGGAATTGGTCTGCTACTGGCTAAGGGTGGCTGGTCCCGAAAGCGCAGAGATTGCATGCAGCTCAAGCAGGGACACCTCCCTCCTGCCTCACTGCCCTCTCAGGGTCCTTCCTCAGCACTGGGCAGCTTTTCTCAATCTTGCTGGCAGCTTTTCAGCCAGCCTTAATTTCCAAGGAACCTTCCAAATGCGTTACTAGTCTTCAGCCAAAAACCTGGGAAAATTCATTCAAACCAGCCTGGATACGCAGGGGATTCCTGCCCTGTGAGCCTTTCCCCACCACCGTCCCACCATCCTTCCCCTGTGTCCCTTTCACCTGTCTTTCTCCACTCATGAACAAACTATGCTTCTCTGAAAGGAAGAGAAGCAAGGGAAACAGATAATGCAACAATAAACATGCACCCCAGCCAAACTGTGCAGAAAAATGTTCAGTTCTCTCTTTCTCTTTGCTTTTCCAGGGCCTCCTAGGAAAGCTGACTACTTCCTCCATCCCACAGCCGTCTACTGACCTCAGTTCACCGGTGTCAGGCCTCAGGTTGTGTATGCGTTTGTCCTGG